TTGGGGATAAGGAAGAAGAAGAAGAATTTTCTGCAGTTAAAGTTTTCGGAACTTCAGTGTTCAAAAAAGTATACAATGCGCGAGCATCGGATTGCGAAGCAGTTCCGAAATAAACTGCGAAAGCAGTTCCGGGGGTTGGCGAGCAGGGGGCGAAGCCTCCTAGTCAAATATATTGCACAACAGCGCTAAAAACTCAAAAAATATTATAATATTATGTGTTTAATAAAATTCGCCTTTCTGATATGAACGTGCTTTTGTAATATAGAAGGTGTGAATGCAGAGGAATAAAACAGAAAGTAGCTATGAATATTTTATTTGAATTAGTAAAACAAATTGGCACATTCTTGGGTCTCCAAGTCCAAAGAATTGATCACGTCAATTATCTTTGGTTTTCGTCCTTCCGAAATTTTTCCGCAAGTTCTTGCCTCAAAGCGTCAGAAAACTGTACCTGGAAGCAAAACATTGAAAAATATTAATAACATTTAAAAAATAAAAACTTAAAGACTATTTAACAAAGAACAATTTATTAATGAGCATATATTGAAATTGAATGAAGGGTTTAGAGAATCGGCACAAGGATCAAAAAAGGGGATGCTTCATTGGACACTGTTTTTGTAAAACTGTCTGAATATTTAAGCGGCAATGCTGTATCTTTGATTAAATAATAGATTTGAGGAGACACGTGGAAGTTAACGCGGCTCCTAAAATAAAAACATAATATTCAAATAGAGAGATGATCTAAAATGAATAATTAAGTTGATTAAAGAATAGAAACAATTAGCACGATTAGTTAACAGAATGCCAGCCATAATTAAATAATAATAAATTTAATAAAAGGATAGCAATTAAGGTTACAAGTTAAGTTCTAGATTAAACATTGTGGCGGACAGGTTGTCCCAGTAACATACACAGGCGTCGTCACAGACCGAACTGAGAAGAAAAACAGGTGCAGTTAGGTCTGCAATCGGGATTGTTCTTATCGCCAACTGGCGACGTAAGTTTGCCACATTTCGGCGTCTAGCATGAAATTGGCTCAAAAGCAGCAGCCGCTGCATACTCCCTCCGCAGTGTAACGGTTAAAAATGGACATACCGTTGAGGTCTAAGAATTGTTCTACCAGTACGAGTTGTGTTTGCTGGATCAATCGGTTTCACTGTGTCTTGAGTTTTTGCCAGGAACGGTTGATTCAATCGATTCGACTGGAGATGGATAAGTATGTTGATTAGTCTCTTGGGGCAGGAAAGCTGGTTTAAGCCTGTCTATGGAAATGGTATGCTTTTTCCCCTTAAGTCGAAAAGTTTGTCACTTCTTTGCAGAACTCTATACGGACCATCGTACGGAGCTTCGAGTGGCTTTCTAACAGCGTCGTGTCTGACAAATACATGTGAGCAGTCCTTCAAACGGGGATGAATAAAAATTGTTCTGTGTCCGTGACGAGACATCGAGGCTGGTCTCACATTTTCGAAGTGGGATTGCAAGTCCAGGATAAGTTGATTTTGGGAAGCACTGGTCGGTGACGGAACGAAGAGTTCGCCTGGTAGTCTGAGAGGTCTTCCATAGATCAATTCGGCAGTTGTGGCTCCTAGATCCTCTTTAAAGACTGCACGGAAACCTAGTAGCAATGTAGGTAGAGCTGAAGACCACTGCTCGGTATTATAGGCCTTCAGGTCTGCCTTTAGTGGACGATGAAACTCCTCGATCAAGCCATTTCCCTGAGGATGATACGGAGAAGTCCTGATGCGTTTGATGCCTAGGAGTTGTGACAGGGCCACGAAAAAGAGAGCTTTCGAACTGCCTGCCTTGGTCAGTAGTAACACGGACAGGACAGCCAAACCTGGAAATCCAATGAGTAAAAAAGGTCTTTGCAACTGTGTGTGCAGTTATGTCAGGAATAGGGACAGCCTCTGGCCACCGAGTAAATCTGTCGATCATAGTTAAACAATAGTAATTCCCGTTGGATGGTGGAAGAGGACCCACAAGATCCAGGTGTACATGCTCGAATCTTTGTGACTGGTCTAAAAAATTACTTACTGCAGATTTTGTGTGGCGAGTTACTTTTGATCTTTGGCATGGGACACGTCGTCTAGCCCATTCTGCACAATCTTTACGTAGGACGGCCAAACAAATCTAGATCGCATCAATTTTGCGGAAGCGCGAATCCCAGGATGGGATAAATTATGCAAAGTAGTGAAAACTTTTTTACGAAATATTGCAGGAATGTATGGCCGAGCTGTGCCAGTCGATAAATCGCAATAAATTGATTTACTACAATCAGGCAAGGTTATTGCTTTAAATTTTAATAATTTGTCAATAAATCATTTAGTTCTTCGTCGGTTGTTTTGTGCCTGTGCAATTTCGTTATAGTCGATTGTGTTGGGCATAGATATTGCTTCGATTCTCGATAGTGCGTCTGCCGAAACATTATCTGATCCTTTTATATGATGAATATCGGTCGCAAACTGAGATATGTAATCTAATTGTCTCGCTTGTCGCGGAGAGCAATTATTAGAGCGCTTTCGGAATGCAAAAGTTAGAGGCTTATGATCTGTGAAAAGAGAAAATTCTCGCGCTTCAAGCATATGTCTGAAATGTTTGATTGCCGCATAAGCTGCCAATAATTCGCTATCGTATGCGCTATAAATTTTTTCAGTTGGGGAAAGTTTTCGAGAGAAAAAAGCACGTGGTTGTGCATCATTGTTAACTATTTGCGCTAAACCCCCCCCCCTATTGCGAAATCCGACGCATCCACATGTAAAATTAATTTGGCATTCGGTTTAGGGTGCGACAACAGCACAGCGTTTACAATTAATTCCTTACACTGTTTAAAATCATTATCAGCTTGATCTGTCCATTAAGTTTCGTTTTGTCTTTCTTTTTGGCTCCTTTTAAATACGCCGTTAAATGTATTTGATTTTGTGCTATATTCGGTAAAAATCTACGGAAAAAAATTTATAATTCCTAGAAATCTTTGAAGTTCATTAACGGTTTGAGGTTGGGGATAATTTAAAATTGGTTTGATTTTGTCGGGTAATGGTTTTGTACCATCTTGAGAAATAAGGTGTCCTAAAAATGAAATTTCAGGTACACCGAAAACACATTTGGAAGTTTGTATAGTTAATCCATACTTGTTCAAACGATCAAAAACCAAACGTACGTGTTTTCTATGCTTTTCTTCAGTTTCACTGAAAATTAAAATATCGTCGAGATAAACGTAGCAAAAGGAAAAGTCACCAAGAATTTCATTCATAAATCTTTGAAACATTTGAGCTGCTCCACAAAGACCGAAGTTCAGATAGGGAAACTCAAAAAGGCAAAATGGTGTACATACCGCGGTTTTCTGTACATGTTCCGGGTGCACTGGTATATGAAAATATGCTCTCACAATATCGAGTTTTGAGAAAATTTTCGCACCATAGAGAGAGTTTGAAAAGTCCTGTATGTGCGAATACTACCGGTTAGGTAGTCAGGTAAAGCCGCTGCAGATTCTTAAGCAACAAACAAGACTATAATAGAAAGCTTATCACTTCAGCCTTAATTGTATTTCTTAATTTTCAATTTTACTTCTATGTAATAATCTAAGTGGTGAATTATATAGGCCTACGAATTATTTAGAAATAGTGGTGGATAATAATCTACTAAATTGAATTAATTAAACCAAGAATCACAATTGATAAACTACCACTTTAAAATACATATTTGCTGTCCGGAGCAAGTTGGCATCTCTAGTTGCATCGATATTTTGAGATACATCTATTTATTGCCCAGTCCCATATGGAATAATCATTTAAACTCTCTCCGTACACCCTCAAGTACAGAACAAATAAGATGGTGAAATTCTTTTTTACTTTTTAAGGGGACAGCAAGGTTTGAAAAGGTTAAGATTCACTGGTTTAAACTTTGGAGCAAACGTTCTCTTTGATATGCCAATGAGCAATTATAATTTTTTTTATCATAATAATAATAGCTCCATTTTTAATAAAATGCTTTCTATGGAGAAAAAAAATTAGGGAATGACTATAATACCATTGCATAACTCAATCATAAAAATAGTTACAATAAGTTCACTTACAGACTGTAAATTCTTATACAGTTAAACATCTTAGTCACTAAAATAACAAATACAAGAGATTAAATATGTGCTGCTTTATAAATGTGCTCTTAATGCTAATAAAATGATTAAGAATTTTATAAAAATGCCAAGTTAATTAACAAAAAAAAATTAAAGTAATTGTGAAAACAATAATAAAAGATAGTTTGATCATTTCGGGTAATTTTATCAAGGCATCAATATGAATTTTAAAGCCACCAACTATTATTGGAAAAAAATTCCCATATGTGTAACAAGGTTAAAGATTAGAGGCATTATCATTTAAATACAAAAAAAAAAAAAAATTACTTAGGAGACTAGAGTAAAACAAGTAACTATTTACAAGATCAGCTTCAAATTAGTATACTACTTTCTATTGAAAAACTTCCTTAAAATGTAGTAAAATTGACTTATCTTTTAACCTTAAACACCTGCCTTTAAAATCTAGCTTGTTACGTCACTCTCATAAGATGACGTCATTCATTTAAAGTGTAAATATTAACTAAAACGATTTTTTAGCCTGTGTATATATGAAAAGTGTGAGTGGCAATGGAAAGAATGTTGTGCTTGATGTGTTCTACGAAAAATAAAATGGTTGTCTATCGGGATTGCAGTCGCAGACACTTGATTTTCGATAGCCGAATCTAGTTTTCCGGATTTTTAGTTTGATTATAAGAACAAGGCTCTCTACAATGTTTTGCACGAGCGCCAAATCTGTTATGGTAAAAGCAAAATTTCGGGTCGCCTCGCGATCTTGAAGGAGTTTGATGTCGGTGGGGAGATTTGTTATATCGTGATCGAAACTGATCTCTACTACGCTCGCGAGATAATCTCTTAACTTCTGCACTCNTTTGCACGAGCGCCAAATCTGTTATGGTAAAAGCAAAATCTTGGATCGCCTCGCGATCTTGAAGGAGTTTGATGTCGGTAGGGAGATTTGTTAAATCGTGATCGAGACTGATCTCTAATACGCTCGCGAGATAATCTCTTAACTTCTGCACTCAACGAAGCTATCTCGTTTCGCAAAACGCTTATTTCAGCCGGAGGATTGCGCTGTGAGCTTTCCGTAGTGTGTTGCCCAATAGCAAACACGCCAGTTTCTGTCGGAGTCGCACGGACTTCTGAAATTTTGTCAGCCATTT